TAACAAAATAGTTAAAATCATGTAGGTCATGTAGGTTTCTGGATGCAGAATTAATTACATTTTTTATTATGGAAAACTGGTATTCACTTAAATAAAAACGACAAATTTTTCATGTGATACGCTGCCCAGATAAATCATGCCTTATACCCCACATTCAAGTCTTAGGAATTTAAGGTTTGGCTCTAACTTCCTATAGCAGATGAAACTGCATTTGAAAAAACCCTGCTCATTTAAGAATTACACATGAAACAACTAAACACAGACACACACACGGATACACGAGGCGTGTTGGCTGGATTTGATGCTCTTTCAAAGTGAGGATTAACAGCAGTGACGCCTCCTCTTTTCTCTTTCCTTGGAACTGTCCTGTGCTCAAGGCCAAGAACAAGTCATGGGACTTACAGAACATATCAGACCTGAGCCAAGTGCTCTCATCATGTTTTTTTTTTCTTTTTTAAAAATCCCTCCAAGGCACATGTGGTTGCCGATTTTGTAATATCAAAGTCAGTGACGTGCTGTAATTTAGTCCATTTGGTAATTCAAATAGGTGCAAAGGATAAAAAATGATTCCAATAGTAGGTACAGATCTTTTAATCTCAAGACATACAAAACTCAAATTCTCCAAAGTGGATTGAAAAACTATCCAAACAGTAGATGTTTACAACTTATTGAATAAATGAATACCTTGAAGATTAAAATGAAGACTAGTAGTCGATAAAAAGGTAGGTAAGTTACTTTTAGTGTATATAACTGAAAATGAAAGCACTCATGCCTTTGCTTCTATATTTTTGTACATTTCAAAATTGTAACAAGTTTTCTGTTTGGACAAGATGTAAGTGACCAATAATCACAGCTTTTTGTCTCATGCCCCCTTCCTCTATTCTGAACTTCTTGTATGCAGAAAAGTACTATTTTCTGGAAGAACTATAGCAGTTAGTGTCCTTTACAGTTTGCCACTGTTCATTCTGTCTCTACACAGTGGATTTTTGTACACTACATGCTGTAGGCTGATACAGAATAGTTTAGCTCGGGACATTCTCAGTAGATACAGAATTTTCAACTCTTTTGTGGAATTAACAAAAGAGCTATATTTCATTTTGCTCCATGGCTGTCAGCATGACCATTGATACAGGCTGTTCTTCGAAGTGTGAATGTTAAACTTACGCAGGGAACATGTTTGCAGTTTTTTGGAAAGCCTGGAATTTACAGTTCAAACAAGAGAGATGAGTTGTTTAAGTATTAAATGAAAAAAGCACAACTATTACTTTAAGTCACTTGTAATGGACTAAGCTAATCCCAAATTAACCCTCACCAAACCCTCTTAGGTGGACTTATGATTGCAACAATAATCCCACAGTCATTTGAAGCTGATTTAGATGTACTAAAACTCACAATGGCAGCATAATGTTAACTTTGAAAGAGAATCCAAATCTGCCTTGAAGTCTAACTAGTTCACTTGTGTTGTCAGTCTACTGAGAAGAAGAAAAGCTTGGTTAGGAGGATGCTGGGATGACCTGGTTGAACTTCTCAAATCTGAGCCACTCTTGTGTAGAAACAGCTTTGAAAATGTACCGCAGGTAATGATTGCACAAGCAAGACGTGATATGACAGTAGATACTTGCAAGAACGCAACACAAGGCGTTAAGCTTGCAGAGGTATTTGTGCAGGATTAGCTTGCTTAACATTTTCCCCATCACATGCACATAGTATATTACCATCAGGTCGAGTTCCTTTATCATCTCACTGAAGCAGTAACCTGAATGTTCAAGTCTGCAAAATAGATAAAATGTATGTTTTCAGGCATGACGTCTAATTCTTCAGATCAATTGCATTAATCACTAATAAATACACACGGATATTGCAAATTGTACCTTTGTGATGTGCACTAAGTTAAGTTAAAGGTTAGTTGGGATACTGGCAACTTTTTTCCTCCAATCCCTCTTTCGTCAAATCCCTCAGATGGAAATGATAGGCTCGATTTGCTCAATGGCTGCCAAGATAATGGCTACAGACGAGTAACAGAAAACCCTTGACAGTGTAAACACATGGGTGCTATCTAAACCTCTGCTGCGTTTGGGCCGGAGCCGCTATTGACTGGTGTAATCTGCTGCATAAATCTACAGCTTGGCCCTGTCTGGCTGCTGTCTGGGTTCCGTGCACTTGGACAAAAGCACCGGACACCTTGCCCACTGACAAAGGGCCTAGCCCTAATTGGAGTAGACAAGGCTTGCTGATGGAGCCTTTTTAAGCAATTGAACTTGGTCAATGAATCTTAGGGGACCTAATACAACATAAGGGACAGGCAGTTTGACTCCAACAACGGCAGTAGCACCAAACTGTCCTGTAGCTCCCCGTCAGCCTAAGCACTGAAGTTGGGCTATGACCCATAATGACTTTTTATCAAAGTACAAAACGGTGAAGGTGTTGATCTTGTGCCACAGTAGGGCTGTAGATGGGCCGTGTTTCATTGTTATTGTGTAATTCAGCTTTGCTTTTTAAAGGACCTGGCGCCATTCCACTGTTTTGTTTTCATGTATTAGAATAGAGAACAGGCCTCACTGTGTCTCCTGACCAAACAGTTTTGGATGAAGGACAAGCTGTTCTTCGTTTGAAAGTTATCAGGAAGGAGACTGGGTTCCTTTTAGAAAGCTATCAGGAATGTGTATGGGAAACCTGTGTGGGCCACTGGAATCTCCTCAAAGAGAAGACTATAGGACAAGTGCAAAGCCCTCACCACGGGAGAGAGGAACTGGTCTTTGTGATCAGAAATGCCATGGAAAAAGTGCGCATTGTTAGCAGCCCAACAGATTTTGTCCCTCTGGTCGTGTGATTCACCTACAAGGTCTCAGGCTCACTGACCCCCCCCCCCCTTGCTGGCTGTTAGAATGCCCACACAAGTCAGTGACACTACATTTTCTTCACACTAAGTAGCCAAATAGCTTTGCTGACCTCAGATTCATAATGTTGCTTCTGTAACTTCTATGCAACTTTTTTCAATAACTGTGCAACAATATCAATTATTGTTTCAATGTTTTCTAGTTGGACTTGACCAGACAGATCTACAATTGTTATGCTATAAGTGTATTGAAAATTAAAGCACTTTTATTCAGATCATTTTTCTGTAATTTGATAGAATTTGATATTAAAAGATGAAACTTTTGGTGTATTGTCTCTCTAGTTATTGTCACGCATTATAAGGGGCTTCTTCTAGAGCTGTGATCGCCATCTTGTGGTAGTTTTTTCCTCTGTTCTGGTCGCCTGTTGATCAACGGGAAATTTAAACTGATAATGTAAAAAATTAAATAAATGCCTGCTTATTTACTCTTTTTTCTTTGTCTCGTGCGTTAGGAAGTTTCCAAGGATCAAAAATAATTCAAGAATAGAATTATTAAATTGCAGCCAACGTTTGAGGCATTTTGAAATCATTTCATTTTTATAGCAAGCAACACGTGATTTTCTTTTTTCTTCTTCCTTTTTTAAGGACACAATGTATGTGCCACACATAAAAATGCCTAAATTAGCGCCCTCTTCATTCTTCATGTAAACACCATTAGAAAAGGACTCCTTTTCTAATGGTGTTTACATGAAAAATGAAGATAAAAATACTGACGTCAATACAACAAATGCAGTCTAAAAAAATGAAAAACAAAATGTAAGCCGCCTTTTTCCATTTAAAATATGAATTAGTTTTTCTTTTGCGTTTTGTTCGGTAAGTCCCTTTCGAGACTTCGTAGTTCACAGCGTTGTTTCCATAGAGACAGAACTTCGTCTAGACGCAAGAGGATCTTTCAGCCAAGTTCTTCTAAGCTTCTAAGCGAGTATAGCACTAGTGCTGTATCCAGGTAGGACATTTTAAATAATTACGTATAACTTAACGGTAAATATGAGTACTTTGGATAAAAGTATTACAGTAGGCCTAAATGGTTTCAGCAACTGAAACTTAGCAGATCGTCTACTGCCTTCATTTTCACTGCTCTGACAGATAAGTAAATCGTCATGCTGGAGCTGGATGAGTCATTCACCTCTGACGAAACTGAAGAAGAACAGGAAAATGTTTCATGTCATGAAGAAGAGGTAAGGGTGTGGGCCTCGTTCTAAAAATACAGCACATGCATGTATGTTTCCGCTATTCTCCAAAATATTCTCTTCATTTACTATTTTTTTGTCCAATTCTGCATACATTCTATCACCCGGAGAGCTGGAAATTAGCAGCTATTTGTCAGGGTGGACACCTTAATTTATATCTCTACCACAAAAGCATCAGGATGATTCGTTTGAGAGCCACACGTGAGCTTAGAGTGACGCTGAACAGGACAGCGAAGCTAAACGGATAATGGATAGAAGATAAATTATGCACAACATAAGCTGACCCTCCGTAAATCCACTTACTGCCTTATGACTTATACATCCCAACTATTGCTTTTTCATATAGTGAGTATGGATGGGATTTGAGAAATTCTTCCAAATAAAAATAAATGGTACCAAATTGTCCAGTTCAGTGGACTAATATCTCTTTAAGTGTAGTAATGCCATTTATGAATGCTGCTTAGAAAACAAAATGATAATTGCAACACAGTGACCCCAAAACCTTTGAGCTTTTGTATGTGTGGGTCACATACAGTACAGACCCTTTTTTCCTTACTTTGTTTTTCTACTTTTGCATTGTCCCTGAACGTCTGCTGGCCTACTTTAAAATTAATCAGAAATCAATAAGGAAACCGATTGACCCATAAGCAGAATAGACAATGGATTTAGTATCAGTAAGAGTTATTGCTTCACTTTTGTCCCCACAATGCTTGCTAATATTGTTAATATTGCTTGCTTATATTAACATTTTCCTTTTGTGGCGAAAGCAGAAATAATAATTAACCTATTTTCTGACCGCAGGCTTCAGATAATTTCCCACCAGCTCTTCTAAGCTACTTTGAAACATCAAAAACTAGAGCGGCAGTTTGTGAGAAACTTATCCTTGAGGAGCTTGAAGGTAAGTAATAACTTACAGTATTTAACTAATGTGTACGGTGATAAAGCTGAGATTATCTCCTCACTGTTCTGGATTTTGTCTGCACTGTCTTTGAATTCCATGTCAGACTTCACACCATCAGATTCCACTGATAATATGATGAGGCTATCAAATGAAGTCAGCAAAGATATGGTGAAAGTGAATGAACAGGTAAATTGGTCTTAACGGTCTAATCTTGGTTGTTTTATTACATCTAAAATATGTCACGTGGCCTAATTTTTAAAAATGATTCCTTTTTACTGATACAGGTGGGTGGTGAAACAGAAAATGAGGAACAAAAGGCTGATGGGTCCCTTCTTCAAACACGAATAGTGACACAAAATCCTTTGACTCACAATATGTCCATGTGGCCTAATAATGAAGGTAGATAACATGTACATGTGTATTGTTTGGGACAAAGACACCATTGCTGTAGTTTTGCTTCTGTACATCACCACAATTGATTGTAGATCAAACAACCAGCATGTGCTTGAAGTACACAGGCCAATAGCTAAACTGGACTCAAACGTTTTTACAGTGTTTTATTATGAAGTCAACAGGTGAATTTGTGGCAAAGTGTTACTAATGATGTGGCCGTGGGTCAGTGGGGGTGAAGGGGGAATTGGCAGGTTGCGACGGGGATGGAGCGGGTGCATCTGGGAAGAAAGGAGAACAAGGTTAAGAAGGCGCCAGACGCAGGGTATTTAGCGGAGGTGGTAATGACTGACAATGCTTACTGATAGTCAGGGTGAGCTTGGCTTTGAGGGAGAGGCAAAGAGAATCCAGGCGAGTACTGACAAAGGCTGGCTGACCTGAGTGCCGAGGTGGTGAGTGGTGGCTGGAGGGCAGGCAGGTGAGGTTCTTTGTATTTTTCCAGAATGCGAGGATAATCCAAGGAGAGCTGAGGTTAAAGGCAATGGCAAAGAAGGTCCAGGAAAACTGTAGCACAGGAAACCAAAGTAGGCAACAAAACAAGTGGCAAGAGCATGGGGCAAAACCTTAGCACCAATACCAACATGAGGTCATTGACAAACTGGCAGCAAAGGAGAGTCTGAGTGGAGCTTAAATCCTCAGCCTGATTACCCAGAATCAGCCTCAGGTGTGCAGGACTGCAGGAGAGATGATGGCTCTGCCCAGGGGTGGAGACCAAGGGACTCAGGTGCCTGGTGGAACTTTCCAGTCAAACCTCCAGATCCTGACACAGACTTTCTTTTTTAATCCCAGAGGTTTTACAAAATCTGTTAAAGAATTACAGCTCTTTTCATACACAGTCCCCTATTTCCCCCAGGTTCAAATTTAATGGGATAATTGATTGACAAGCAGTGGCCATGTGAGGCCTGATCATTTTTTTTTATTTTAAATGAAGCAGATATAATATCTCAAGTCAATTCAAGTCAATGTGTTTAATTTTTGTTTTTATAGCTTTATACTGTAATTTCAATTATTTATAATATCAGGCCAAAAGAGATGTTAGTGCAAGTGAGTGAAAAAAGTGAAGAAAAAAAACTATCAGAGAGACAGCCAAAACTTTAGAAATGGCCAGAAAAGTGAACAACTTTGAGGTTACTGAAGTTCTGATGTTGCATAATACAGCCATAATACACTCGAAATAAAGGTAAAAGGTAACATAGTTTGCCACAAGATGTCACTATTTTCATAGAATTTGCTGTCACTCACGACTTCAGTAACATGAAAAGGTAGATAATCCTGTCTTGTGAATAGACTTTTAAATTTGCAACTGAAAGCATAAAGCTAATGGTGATCAAGCTTCCTGGAGGTATATTTTAGTTAAATCATATATAATGTAGATGGACTCAAAATCACTGCCACGTCACTGATGTAAATTTAGAAAAAAGATTAGATTTGGATCATTCTTTATGCAGGAAATTTGGTTGTTATTTGTTATTAGTGCATAACAATCAATGGAGAGGCAAGGCATGTCTTACTTTGAGCCTGATTTGAACTACATATGCATGGCTTTCCTTTCTTGCTTGCTGAACTATTGAAGCCTTACATTTTTGTATTTGTCTTAGATGGAGCTGGAACAGATCGATGTTGGGAGACTGAAAAATATTTGGCCCGGGACTTTGGCAAACATGACATAGCACCAGAGAAACACTGTGATGAGGAGATGCATAAAAATGAGGAAAGGCAAAAAAGAGAAATTAACTTCCAGGAGGAGCTGAGGAAGATAATGGAGGCAGAGAAAGTAAGTTACTTCTGACTTTTTTTTCTCTCCTCGACATAGTACTTTTGGATCCAGGTGGTAGAGCAGCTATCCCATAATTGCTACGAATAAACAATAAACTGGTACCAAATGTCCACATACGTAATAAAACATGCAGCTGCCCCCAGCAACTCTTCAGGGTAATTACATAACCCAGCCTTACTTGGATATGGAGGAAGTGGAAAAGAGGCCTCTGATAGCCTGGTGCACCACAGAGCCATTGTTTATGTTTATGGATGATACCTTACTTAGTAAGTACACAGACTTAGTCCACAGACCGATCAAGCTCACCACAGAGGATATGAAAGGTTTGACTGTAATTGTCCACTGGAGCAAAAATTGTGTGTCTTTAGGACACTGACACACTGAGAACACCATCCCCAAAGACACAGTGGGCAGAGAAGCAGAAGATCGTCATATCAAGAAGAGCCTGAGTAAATGTGGTTATCCAGCTGGGTATTTGACTACGCTGGGAAGACAACTAAGCAGTGCTAAAGTGTCATCTAAAGTGAAGACCACTGGTGATTCCTTATGTGTCTGGAGTGTCGGAACAACAGTGACACATGTTTTCATAACATTGTGTCTCTTTGCCTTTCAAATTCCAAACAAAACTCTCAAAAGTTTGTCCACCCCGAGGATTGTGTCCTCTGCCTTAAACAGAGTAATATTGTGTACGCAGTTAAGGACCAAGAAGACTGAGATGAATTATGTAGGTAAACTAAACAACCTCAAGCTTAAGAAATGGCACAGCACATAAGAGATAGCTTGTCTAGCCTGGACTCTACAGTCTATTTACAGCATTAAAGCAGTGGTCACGCTTTCACTGGCACATGGAGGAACACTGATTTGAGCGTAGTAACAAAGGAACCCTCCAACCAAACATAGTTTACACAAAGATCACATTGGGAAGACAGGTCAGAGAGGTAGGCTGATAAGAAAAACAACGAAAATACACAACATGAGGTGAGAGGAGGAGAAAAACGAACTCCACGCAGACTGAGCTCCTAATGGGAGAACAGTTTGAGAACAGAAAAAAATAATAATTAGGATAGATTGCAGATTATTATTGTGTAAGCTGTAGAGTACTGCAGCATTTTGGTAATTAGTGCAGTGTATTGTGATTGCAGTCCTGTGCTTCTACAGTAACTGTGGCAGGAGCAAGATTGGTGCTTGAGTTATTCTCTCGCTCCTTTAAAATGAACTTAAACTCCTGCATCGTAACCATTTTTGACTATTTCTGTCCCTTCTGTAGATTATTCCAGAAAACCAGGCCAGCATATTTAAAAGCCTTTTCCCCCTCAGTTCTGTTCTGATTCTCAGGACAAACATTTGTATTATGATAATATGATGGGCTGGTATGGTGTGGTACAGGCTGGTATGTACAGCATTCATCACTAAAGTCAAGGGACCTGTTGTTTTACTGTGTTCTTAAGGAGTGGGGAAAATAAATGTATTCATTCAGATGCCTCAGGATTAGATATTTCATACCCCCAGACAAGGGTACGGAGGGCAAACTGTCACAGAGAAAATACAGAATGCAGCAAAAATGGCTGTATTAATTAACCCTGTTGTGTTTTATTTATTCTGGTTCCAGCTGCATGAAAAGGAACTGGAATTGATGGCGAAAAGAGCCCAGGAAAAACTTGAGCAGGAGATGCTGCTTCAGCAGGTAATTAATTTTTTTATTTTTTTCAAATTTGTGTGCAGTGTGACGTAGAGCACAGGCTCACCATTGTATTTTTAGACATTTGATATACTTTTGGGTATTTGTTATCAGCGCAGCATTTGGTAGAATCAATTTACTGAACATACTGGATTTATAAATCAGTGGTCCTCAAAAACACACCTTAAATTTAGTACTTATAGATGCTTTTTTCCATTTTGATTGAATACTTTTTGTGATGTTTGTAAATTCCATGTAGTTTGCTTAATATATTTCAAAGAATAGATTAAAGAAATGAGGCAACTAGTTTCTTTGTAACTCTATAAATATCATCTCTAATTAGGAACTGATTGGTAACTTACAAAAACAAGTGGAGCAAGAGAGGAGGATGATTGAGGAAGAGCAGAGAAGGAAAAACAAAGAGAAGAAAAGGAAAAATGAAGAAGAGAAAAGGAAAAATGAAGACATGCAAGCGAAAAAGAAGCAGGAAGAGGAAGACAGAAGGAAAATGAAGGAGGAAGAAGAGAAAATTAAGAGCGAAGAAGAACAGAAAAGGAAGAAACTGGAAGAGAGGAAAAGATTGGATGAAGAGGAAAAGAAAAACATGATAAAATTAAGACATAAAGACGAAAAGAAGCAAAAGGAGCTGTGGGAAAGGGAGGAGGTAAAGAAGAAAAGGGAAGAAGAAGAGATTAGAAAGAAAGAGGAAGAGAGAAAAATTGAAGAAATCAAGGATGAGGAGAGGAGAAGAGAGATACAAGAGGTGGAGGAGATAAAGCAAAAGCAGAAGGAGAGAAAGAAAAACAGGAAAAGTGAGGACGAGGAAACAAGAATAATGGATGTCAAAAACAATGTGACAGAGGTTTCTGGAAGGAAGATGACTGAAGATCAAAAGACAAAAAATAAAGAAATAAGAAGTATTAAGGAAGAAAAGAGAATAGATAACGGAGGTGAGGAAGAGACGACAAGAAAGGAAATTGTGAGAAAAACTACAGAGCATAAAATGGAAAGAAATGAGGTAGAGCAAAGAGAAAAGCCCGAGATGAAGAAAAAGCTGTTGAATAAAGACATCAGGGGAAAAGATGAGAATAAAAGAATAGATGACAAAATGCAACTCACGGAAAGTGAAGAAAAGAAAAAGAACGATGAGGAGAGTTTGGAAAATCAAGATATGATGAGGAAGGAGGAAAAGACTAAAACAAACAAAGAAGAGCTGATTACAATGAGAATGGAAGAAATGAAACAGAATGAAGAACAAGAACACAGAAACACAGATGAAGTAATAAAACTCAAGCCAGAGATTTGTGAGAATAAAGACCAGAACACAAAAATGGAACATGAGAGGAAAAAAGATAAAGAAAAGAAGCAAGAAGAGTTGCAGAAACACCAAGAGGGGCTTAGTATAGGAAAAAAGAAGGATGGGACGGGAAACAAGGAAGATGCAAAGGATTATGGAAATGAGGTGAAGGAAAACATACAAGCAGAAGAAAGGAAAATAGAAGAAGAGTTGAAAGAACGAGTCATAAGTAAGAATGAGCTGCGAGACAAGGAAAGAGAAAATAGCAGCATGCAATCTCAGAATACTGGCAGGATCTCACACCCAGGAGCCAACACCACGCGGACCTCAAGTGCTGATTCACTGCAGAGTGAATCTACAGCTGACCCCGTCAGCTCTGAAACTGCAAAACAACAGAACCTAAACAAGAACATCAGTCAGATCCCTGTGTATAAAACCAGTAACCGGCAAGATCCTGCAAAGCCTGGCACTTCTTCTTGCTTTTTGCCTGCAGGCCTTCCAGAGCACACAGAGCAGAAGAGGCTGTTGTGGATGAAGGAATGCATCCCTTGGTCTAATCTGTCCTGCCAGAACAGGAGGAAGCAGAAAGGATCAGTCCGGAGTAGGACAGGGCCAAGGAGGGTGGCAGAGGGTAGCAGTCTGCCCCCTCTGTGCCCACACACTCTGCTTCAGTCCACAGGATGGAGATCCCTGCAGGAGGTAACATACTGTGTGCTTAGCTGTGATCCAGGAACACTGATGAAAATGTTTTGTACTTAAATGTTTGTTGTGTTCGGAAAGAATATTCACACATAGAACCCATTATTTTCATTTGAGATCCAGAAGCGCTGAAATATGTTTGGCTCTCTTTCAGGTTACCAGTGTGACCTTGGAGGACTTACCTGGCTGTAGCCTTTTTACCCTTGCCCAGTGTACTCAACTTCAGTCGCTCACCCTCAGACGTTGTGGACTGAAATCATTGGAAGGTATCAACCACTTACAAGAGCTCTGGTACATTGACCTACAGGTGATTATATAGTTAAAAATAACAAAAATAACAAAAAACTAGTCATCACTGTGATTTTTTTTTTCATGTTTCAGTCATTTCAGTCACAACAGCTTTGCTTTTGTTTTGTTTTAGGAAAATGACATCTCATTTGTGGATTGTGAAAACATGAGCAGCTTACGAGTTCTTCAACTTGCCCACAACAAGCTGACTTCCATCCATGGTTTAAATGGTGCTGAGAATTTGGATATTCTTGATCTCTCGCATAACTCCATCACCCGTATTGGTGAGAGCCCCAAAAAAGAAAAACGGATAAATTTTTTCGTCAGTATAATGTCTGAAAGTGTTTGTGTTTTAAATACTTATTTGCTAACAATGTGTGTGTAGCAGCTTGAGATAACGCGTGAATGATCCGAACACCTGGTAAGTCTAAAATCCTCAAAAAAGAGCAGCATTCACTTAACCTGAGAACAGGCATGATGCCATCGTGTTCCATGTAAACACAGAAAGTAATATGAGTGTGAAACTTCAAAATAAAAAGAGTCTATGGAGTATGTCAAATGCATTTGGACTTCTTTATGTTTAACAAAATGAATGAAAGTTATGGCTCTTAACACCAGAATCCTGGTAAAAGACATGCTGCAGTTACAATACATTTCTTACATATATTTCATTTGAAATTCTAAAGGACTACATTCAGAGCTTATCAAACCTGAGAAATAAACGTGAAAATGGAAAAAACAAACAAACAGTATCTAAAATCTTTCATGCAACATTTTACTTATTACCTCACATGCTAAAGGACTATCATAGATGAACATCAGGAATTCCAAGTTTCCCTCCAGGTTTAACTAAACTTCCTCTTCTGGTCAAAAAAATCAATGTTATGTAATGTAACACAAGAGGGCAGCATCTCTCTTCTTTCCTGCTGAGGACTTCACACCATTCACTCTGCAGTGAAAACTGCAATTTTGACTCCATGTACAGACTGTACTTTTTTTTTAGACTGTATCATGTCAACTTTTAAGACTCATGCTCTGCTTTCTGCATATATTCTGTCTGCTTCCTAGCTGGTCTGGAGTCTGTAAGGAGGCTACAGAGGTTGTCAGTGAACCACAACCAGCTGATCAACACCAAAGGGATGAGAGATGTATATACACTGCTCCACCTGGATTGCTCTCACAACCACCTGGCCAACGTGGAGGGTCTGGAGAACAGTGCTCTGCTTCACACACTGGATCTAAGAGGAAACGGCCTTACTGAGGTAAAAACTCACGGCAGATGACTGGAAGCACTAAATCTAATATCACTGTTCACTGTTGCAATTTTGCGAGAGCTGCAGAGAAAGTGGTGTGGGTGTTTGAGACAGGTGATGGGCTTGAATTAAACCTAAAATCCTTTTGCTTTTATCATTCCTTTAATTTTAAATATGTTTATATTGTCTATCCTGTAAAATAGTCAGATGTCTATTCATATTAATGTACAGAATTCACCTGCTTGCTGCTACTACTGCACATTCACCCAGTGTATATACTATATATATATATATAATGTTCTTCCTCTACACCCCCCCCCCAATTTTTTTGCACATGTCGAGGAGCGTGTCAGGCTACATTTCACTGTGTGTTATACTTGTATAACTATGCATGTGACAAATAAAGAACCTTGAACCTTGAACCTTGAACCAGGCAAGTATGACAAATATAAATAAGGTGCTTAATTTCAATTAAAAAAAAAGGAAGCTGATCCATCAGATCTAATCCAAGAAGTACCTCAGTCAAACACATGCTGTTGTTTGCTAATTCGCATTTCTCAGCTGTGAAAATAAATTTTACCTGGCCAAATTTCAAATTTTCTCCAGTCCAGCAGATGTGCTGTTAAAAATGTATATTATTGCACACATGTGATAATGGCCCACTCTATCCTCAGTAACCTTTCAGTCACAGATTAACTATGCTTGTGTTTGCCAAGCCTGAAAGTTTTATCACAGTGTGAAAATGAACCTGACGAGCTTCGCTTGTGGCAGGCACTCATAGCAGTAGGCATAGCAGGGCTAAAACAACTGACATTGATGGACGAGGTCGTTTCATTGCTACAGCAGGAGCAGCGGTGTGAAGTTAGTCTAACCTCACAGTGTGATGGGTGTTAACTGACGACTTTGTCCTGTTGCTTCATCAGCCCCCGAGTCTGAACAACCAGGTCCTCCTCAGAGAGCTATATCTGGATGACAACAGCGTCTCCTCCCTTCACGGCCTCGCTGCCTGCTGGCTTCCTCTAATGCAGCACCTCTCTGCAGCTCAAAACGGGTATCCAGTATTCATCCAGTACTACTTGCCATCTGTCTTCGCCTAAGTTTTGTTATGTGATATATATTCAAAGTAGAAAATAACACACGTGCCACAATTTTTTCTGGCTTCTCTTTCTTTTGAAAATGTAACTTGATATAAAAAATTGCAATCAGTAGGTTCTGTAAAACCACGACGAGTCAAAGCCACACAGTCGCATAAATTCAAAATGCTTCTGTGTTTAACGGTGACATGAGCGATGCATTGAGATGTGGTCTAGCTTCTAATGTAATTTGTCTCTTATTTTCCTAGAATTACTCAGCTGCCCTCCATGTCTAATTTTGTGTCCCTTGAAAATCTGGATCTTAGATACAACTGCCTGTCAGGTAACATGTTTTCTTTATAAAATGGTGAATGGGCTGTGAATGCTTGTTTAGCGCTGTTTTACCTTAGTGGTTCAGCAAACGTCTCTTGTTCACTGTTATGCAAGCGCTACTCCTAATAGAGCATCGCCTGCTCTGTTAGGAGCAGCTTGGCCTTCATTGTTTTGCTCAGGACAGCCCGAGTATAGAGCTGCTAATCCTGTGATTAGTGGTCAACCTGTTTTACCACCTAAGCCAGTTTAAAACCTGTGGTTTTTCTTCTTCTTTCAGCTCACCGTACTTGAACTATTGCTTTTATATTTTGTTGATCTTATTTCGGTGCCTTGTGTAAAATTTTGTAACTTTGTAACTTGGATATAAGTTCACTACACACCTCTGCTTATTTCATGTAGGTTGATATAGTTTGTAAGTTGGAGTTATATTGAAACTGAAGAATATATTGAAAAACGTGTCATGCTCTCTTTCAGACCTGCAGAATGTGTGTGAAAATCTTGAGGGATGTCAGTTCCTGCGTGAAATCCACCTCACAGGGAATCCTCTTCAGCAGGAGAGTGGCTGGAGGTAGGGTAAGCACTGGACAGAGTAAGAAAATGACATGATATACTGTCTTTTTAGAACTAAATATGTTGTTATCTGTATGTATCTGCTTTCACGACCCATCATGCAGTGATAGTGCATTGTGCTAGTTTCAGGAATCTTGAATTTTCTGGCTGCCTCTCGTTGAGGCACATTTTCCTCACCTGCTCCACAGTTTCAAATCAAGATATAGTCATTAGAAATTTCTGTTCTTTTTGGAAATTATTTGGATAGAAGTTCCAGTTTCTGCCTCTTTTGCTCTTAAATATAACTTGATATGATGGGTGATCAAAGGAAAATACCACTGAAAAGTCAGTATTTGCCTATCCAAAATTTAGTCTGTGGGCTCAGGTAGTCTAAACATTCCAGCTGAACACTGGTCTCCCTGTCCACTTCCAGGATTACCGCTCTGATCTGCATTGCCTATTAGATTACCAACATCTGTATGTGTGTATGCCACACTAAGTGGTCATAATTTCCAAAATATTGATACAGCAGAAAAATCAATTATCTTTTCATTGTCAATTTGCTCATTCACTTACATTGCTTAAATATTTTACAAGTGTTAAGGCAGTTGCAATGAGTTTATATGAAAAATATGCAATGAGCACTTATATTCTTTGAGGTTCTACTGGGATGTCATGAGCGGTGATGTCAGCTGTTACAGGTTTGCAAAGTTATTTGGCTCCTCAGAGTCAGTTACACCCAGCAAAATAACCAAAATATGAAAAACTATACTAGTTTTGGAAACTTTTTGCTTATTTAATAGTCAGATTTTTATCATTGTTCATATGTTGGAGTTACTGCCCAGCAGGTTCAATAAAAACATCAATAAAAAAACAAAACAAAACAAATGTTCTGTTAAATCTTTGCCAGTACCACTGCCAATGTTGGTTTCCATAAATGGTAAATGGCAAAATTTAACGTGTGATTAAAAAAATACAGGAAAAAAAGCCTTTAAAAATGTATATTCATTTTAAAATGGTACATTGTACCATATTTTTTTTAATGATTTTTATTGTGCTGACAATATGAACATAAAATCTATTTTTTATCTTTAGATTGAGTTTTTAGAGGATTCTTTGCTGGAATAGGTGTAAAACTATGAGTTACTTGTGAACACTTTCTTCCTTAAGCCATAACTGAAACATTACCTTAATTTTTCACTGAACTTTACTTAACCCCCAGTGCCAACAGTAGAATTAACCCTCAGTATTTCCACACTCATGCCCTTGCCCTTTCATCCTCAGCCAGTGATAACACTGGCTAAATAAAAGCACCAAAAGGCAAGCGCTAAGAATTACAATCCCTGTAGGCACCCCCTGATCCAGGAGAAATAGATGAAGAAAATACTGGCCCTGATTAATCAGAGCCGCTTAAAGAGCCTATGTTTTGGAGGAAGTCTTCACTAAATGAAATACGGAGTTATGCTCATAGGAACTGGAGAATCAGGATGAAGGATCCAAAAAAGTGTTTTAAAAGAAAAGGAGGATAAAATTTATAACAGTTTAGTAAGACTCAAGTTGAAGTTTGAGTATCTTCAGTGTACTGTAGATATAGCTGTGAATAATGAAGCCCTTATATTAAAAAGGTAATAAGTTGCTGCTATTTATCCAATTTTGTGTAATTCGGGTTTGGAGCTTCATTTAAAGACAGCGAGTCAGGCATCCTATTTAGGGTTGGAATCCAATTCTAATCTGTGTTTGAGAGACCCAGTGATCCACATCAAATCTATCTATCTATCTATCTATCTATCTATCTATCTATCTATCTATCTATCTATCTATCTATCTATCTATCTATCTATCTATCTATCTATCTATCTATC